CTAATTTAAAGCCTTGACAATAAACACAAATGTAACTGAATGCTTGTTTTTGATGGATGACATTTTTTAATATCTGTTATATTTAAATCTCATTGTCTTTACCTCCTGTAGATTGTCTACTGACAAGCACTCTGGTTCCATTACAATCGATTGAAGCAGCCTATAAAAAGACACACAAGACCGTGCTTATTATCATTGATCTCCCATGAAACAGAAGTTATTGAAATATACATTATATAACAGCTGATTGTAGTCATCAGCTCTGTGTATGAAACCAAACGTACTAGACCTTACTACGAGAGTATACGTACGATTAAGTGGTGGATAACCAGGATGTAGTAAGCTAGGTGATATYGTTGAAGGGGGACAGTAAGAAAGACATGGAGGTCTACGAACGCTCCACAAACCAAACCAACAAATTATTTTGTTATTCCATATTTATGTATACTGTCAAGATGTTTATAGGAAATGGTGGCACAACCCTCTTGCACCCTTTGCTACCAAAAGCTATACCTACCTCGCTGAGTTTAGCCTTAGTTCAAAGTCATTTTCCTCTAAAAAGACAAAGCATTTTCAGTGTGTTAAATAATATTGTAGACATTAAGTGAAACATAGTTAAAGAAATATTTAAGTACCTTGAATGAGTTTAAGAAGTAGTGGCAGTAGCGATCGTTTGGCTATYAGGAATTGTAGACCTCGAAAATTGATGCTGTCAAATGCATAATAGTAGACTACAGGTTACAGAAGTTCCAGTGAGGAATTAACTTAATACAACAGCTAAATGAGAACTTGCCATAAAATTAGCAGTTGTTTGATGTAGTAGGGCATGGTGCAGATATCTAGCCTGACACACAGGCAGTCCAGCCAAATAATGCAAGTAGGTTATTTTTGGTTGATAGACAACTAGGATAATGGTTTTAGCAAGGTGCATTTCATTCATGGCATAGGATCCTCCTATTATTCCATTCAATATGTCTGTTGATAGCATRGTTGTGAGGCACTTTTATGTACCATTCCACAATTCAGCGCACCGTCGTAAAAAAGAAAGCACTAGCTCCTACTGCATGAATGGTAAACAGTAACTTGTTTTAATGAGCGAGATATATTGCTGCAATCGGATCTTTCCTGACTTTTGAAGAAATAAATCAACATTGCTTAACACTATTTATATCAGACACTTTATGATAATAAAAAATAATATCATACCTTATGTTGTAAAGCATCATCAGGATCAAACTCCGCATCTTGACATTGCATCTGGGTGGGACCTTCTCAAGTGATGTCACAAAGTCATCAATCAGCAGTCTCCCATTTGATTGGTTGATTAAAAACTCTCTCCCACATGGRGAAGCAGCAATATTTGTAAAAATACCACACAACGCAAGTACAAATTCAAACTCCTCAGGCTTGATTTCACAACCATTGTCGTTCCCACATGTCACAAAGTAGCTAAGAATGGTTTTGTGTGTGACYAGTAAAAGATCTTCTGCCTTTGTCTGATGGGAAAAAATGTATTCTTCGAATGCAATATATGTCACCAGCCAAGCCATCTTGGATTTCTATATTCTATATTTAAGTATATTATATATTGCTCATTCCACAAATAAGTGGGTGCTGGTCTTTTGAATCTCACGGGAATGATTGAAAAGAGCAATTCCTTTGATAGAAGAAATATTAAATTCATGAAAAGTCTACATTGAATTTAGAGAACACAGACCCAGGAGAACTGCTCAAATTTTCTATCYCCGTCTTTCCTAATACAAGATAGATTAAAAGAAAACTTTACCCCTTCAAGTAGAGTTGATACAGACTCTTGTTTTCTAGATATTCTCCACAGTAATGTACAGACAGTGGAACCCATAGTMGAGCAGAAATCTGATTGGTCTGAGAGCTTTTGATTGAGGTCAGTAACTTGGCACTGCAATAACAGATCATGTACTTATTGACTGAGGGCCYTACAGGAAAATATTTGGCTTAAGGTTATGCCGTACAGACCAAGCGCAGTGAGGTCCATACAAATGACTGACAGCCAAATATTTTCCCGTACGGCCTGACCTAACTCAGTCAATAAGCATTTTATCATATGACAGTGTTTTTTAATGTAAAAAAAAAAAATAATAATAATAAAAGTGTGCCGAACTTCAAGCCTGGAAGATACAAGTTTGTACGGCCCTGTTATGAAAAGGTGTATGTCCCCCATCACGTGACCTGCATTTCCCGAAGGTTTTTTAAGAGCATGCGCAGGGCTGAAATACGAGTCATGATAATATAAAATATTCTCCTCATGTTATTTATATACGGTTATCAGCATATCATGAGCCAATAACCACAAACACATACATACCTTGAGTTTGAACTTTTCCTAAATGAAAGGGAAAAAAATCAACAGATTTATCACACAGATGTTGTAAATTGATATAAATGCACACCATAAAAGGTCGTACATTTATTCTGTAGCCATATTTGGACATACAGACAAAAAGAACTCACCTCTCTTCCCCTATCATAGTCACACAWCAAGTTATTAAATCGTTTATCATAGAGCTCTTTTTCTTTTGTACTTTGCTGTTTCAAGCTTTCTAACTCTGCTCTGAGATAGCGATTTTCACTGTGGAGCTGCTGAATCTCTGAATATAAATTAATTTGGTATTAACCTAATGATGATTAGAGAGTTGATTTTATCATAATCTAATTCTTTCTGATATCTTAACATCAGAATGATAAACTATTTGGAATTCTTAATACTTGCAGACAAAATAGTGAGAAACTACAGAGCATTCCTTGGTTTGTAGACATCTTCAAGATAGTAAATCCGAAACACAAGATACCTTTCCYTTCATGATAGTCCATTATTAAATTCTGATAGTCTTACAAAATGGTTGCAGCTATTCATTAATTAAGACTATCATAATAAAAGAAATGATGGATAATCATGAAAAATAAAAAAAGAATATCATTCATMATGATGTGGTGTGTTTATGGTAAGGATATAAAGTCTATGGCATATTCTGATATTTTTACATGAAAGTCAAAAAAAGCATTGTTATTGTTATTGAAATAATAGCAATGTGATCAGTAAAGCAATAAGAATACCTTTAGTGTTGGCTGCAAGCTTGCTAGATGATTTCATCAATTCTGAATTGAACAACTGATGAAAATTATAAAAGCTAAAGTTAAGCTTAACTTAAGRTWAYMTTWAATAAACATTAAGCTTAAATCTTAAATTTCTTTTCTTTTCTAGACTCAAAGAAGACCACAAGACTAACCTTTGGAATCAAAATTTTAATTTCTCTATAATCAGACATGATCTTCAAAAGGTCTTTCTTTGAAACGCGCAGATACTTCTGTGAAGAAAAGCAACAAACTCCAGCTCTCTTTGAAGACTTAGGAAATCTCCAATGTCAAATTAATAAGCTTATCAGTTGAAAATAAAGTTTCCATTCTRACCAAAGCTTTCGACACTTTTAAAAATGTAAGCTAATGATATTTTAGCTTCTTCAAAGTAAGATATTAGTGTTTAATTCATTTATTTTACCTCATGAGAAATTTTCTTGGCTGCCATCTTTGAATTGTGCGTATTTACCGTGAGGGGCTGGTCAGTAAGCAAGGAACGCCTGTGCACAAAATCAACGAGAAAACGCGCGAAACGGAGCCAAACAAGTTTGAGACGAGTACGTCTTGCTTCTTTCGCTCCTAATCAATCTGTWATGCTTTGTAAAAGCAATTTTTTTGAACCAATAAGAGTTGGAAATAGTTATTATTTTTATTGCAAGTGGTTTATCATGGCAATGCTTTCTTTGGACATAATAAATTCCAGTAGAGGAATCGGCTCAAGATCTCGAAAGCAAGATGTCGCGGAGTGCATAAAGCTTACGGTAAGACGAACTGAGATATGTGTCCTTTATTTTAATACTTGGTAAATAATAAATAATATCGTCAAGATGAGAGCATGCACAGTCTTAGTTTATATAGCATGACAATTAAAACTGGCATATTTATGTAACTACCAGAACGCTCTTAGAGCGCTTACTCGGGCTGCATAATAGATAAGTCACGTAATGAATGAAGCCCAAGTGTAAATTGGAAGTCCAAGACATTAGCAACTAGCCACTGTTGTAATAATGAAAATTCAGTGATTGCTTTAAACCAATGGACTTTTTATAATGTTTATGAATTATATRAGATTACTTTGCAAATTTACAAAAATTAATTTGTGGAGTGGGTAAGATTGACCTGTCTGTTGTAATCTTGATTAATGCATGAAAGAGCTGCATAAAATAAATGTCAGGGATGATGTTTTGAAAGCTTATGTATGAAGTCTAAAGCTTTCATTTATTAACATTGATGATCCAGGGGATTTGGTCATTATCAGGAGATCAGAAGATAAGGCCCAACATCTGAAGACTCCTGCCTTATCTGGGAGAGTTTATACATGTTTTAAATGAAGGTTTTTGAACTGACTTCTTTCAGCAATACTTTCAGAGCATTCAGAGTTTTTATTTATTTACATTAGTATTTTACACAAAGAAAATTTTGAAATCATTTAATATTTTGCCATTAAAATATTAATCTTTGCTTGTAAACCAAGAGAAACTGCTCAAAATATTTCCTGTGATCTGATAAAATAACAATACAAGATAAAATGTACATTGAATTGGATGCCACTGTCTTTGAACTACAAAACACTCACAGATATTTCTATTTATCAGTCAAATACTGTACACTATTAATGCTCTATTATTCTATTGGTACTGGCAAGCTGCTGTCATTTTCTCCAGTTAGTTCTGCTGTTTCAGCTTCTTGTTGTTGCATTTTTCGTCTTCTGCTTCTTCTTGCCCGGAGCCTTTCTTGCAAGCCCTGCTCCACTCTTGCCTTATTCACTTCTTGAGCTTTTTCAAACTCTGCAATCTCCTCTTCATGCTTCTTTTTCAGTTGATCAATATTTCCAAACAGGTCTTCTTGATTAGGTGCTGGTGCTAATTCAGATAATGGAACTGCCTTTACTCGTGGCTTGTTCTCTGCAGGTTGCTCTTCACTTGCAGCTGCATCTGGGTTTTCTCCTTCACCTGTAGCAGCTTGTGCTTCCTCAGCTGCTGGGATCTCAGCTGGTGGCTCTTCACTCTGAGCATCAAGCTCTGGAGCTTGTTCATCTCCTTCTTCCTTAGTTACCTCACCAGGTTTGATAACCTGTTCGTCTGACACAACAGCCTCCTCAGTTTCTTTGTACTCCTCTTTCTTAATATCCAAATTCATTTCCACTCCAAGTTTCTCTTTGACGATGTTCTGGATAAGTGTCAAGCGTTCTTCTTTTAGTTCGTAGTATTTCACATGATAACTCTTCTTGACCTCATCATAATCTGGGTTGATGGTGTTTTTCAAGACTTGGTCAATCCAGTTTAGCAGGTTTTGGGACTTGTTGTAAAATTCTACAAAATTGGCATGAGCTGTGCGGTAATTTTGAGGCAACTGAACATCATGGAAGATGGTATTTATTGCTTGTTGAAGTTGCTAAAAACAAACAAAAAACAACAATTAATTACGGGATAACTAGTATAAAATTATAAGATCATAGTTCTTGCTGTTTTTCTACAGTGCAAATCATTGCAGGACATTTCCAGAAACTAAAAATTTACTAATTTGTAAGAATTATCAACCAGATATTAATTCTCTTACCTCTAAGTCGCTTTGATTAAAGTAAGGCACTTTTATAGGAGTCAAGAACTTCTGCGCTGATTGTATGTTTTGAACAGCAGCAATCAAGTGGTTCCTTGTTTCAGCCGTCATCTGYAACTTGACCTGTAATCATYTGAAATTCTGTTAAGTTATACTCCTGCAAACCTTGGTACTAAGTTTAATAATGGGGCGACTAATGGGGGTGACTATTTCTTTCTGTCATGTCTTTGAATGTATTTCCCTTTAATATCAATGGTGGATTGTCTATAAGATAGTTACCACTATAAAAGTGGTCCAATTAATGTTATTATGTGATTTGATGTTTGTAAGCATTACACATCAAAATCTATTTACCATTTGTGATTGAACATTATGAGAAGCT